TTGCCATGATGAAGTTATGAAGAAACTTTGTTTCAGTGCTTATTTTGACACTACGTAGTAAAATAAACATCTTCAATGATTTCAATGATACTAGCTTTTAGGGATATTATCGTATATATTAATTTATTTTATATTCCAGGCATTTCGAGCACTTTACAGCACCCATGGTCACGGGGGGACTGAGCTGTTCGACGTCCCATTATCCTAGTTTTATGAGGGCTACCTCCGTATTAAATTTATTAATTTTAGTTCTGATCTACGCAGTTTTGAACTTATAGTATATTGAAATTTTCTTGGATTTAATTTTATTAATTATAGGCTCCCAAGCAGATGGTAGCACTCAGCCATCTTCTCGATTGAAATCAGGGTATTTTTTGATTCCAATAGCCTCGCGAATCATCCTTGGAAGGAATCGGTTTCTTTAGCAAGGTTTGTGGTCTATCAAATCTAATGTAGTGACGGGGGCGATCCTGGACATGTTAACAGACTGCGGACTTCCCGAAGCATCTATTCTTCACATCAGCTCTGTAGGGTATTCATTAACACGGGTTTTAATCCGTAAAAACTAGTTTTATTTAAATGTGTAGTGTTCGCGTAAGTATAAGAAATCGTTATCAATATATTTTATAGTTGGGTAACACACAAAGTTATTATCGTATAAAATAAACATGTTCTTGGCCGGAAAGTGGATTAATATCCGTTCTAAAACGACCTTATATGCGTAGGGATCGTTAAACACTAGATCAAACGAGTTTGCGAGTTTCTGCTCATTACGCGACTTCAAAACAGAATAAAGTGTAATATAGGATAGGAAATCATTTACAAGTATAAGAAGGCATTCCACCTTAAATATTAGTCCTTAGTGTTGGTAAGACAAGCGAATCATCAAAAACGAATGTAACCAAATTTCTTCTTTAAAAAAATACGTTATATCCACACTAGGAATTTCTCCTGTATCAAGGGAGCAGTTTACATACATGGACAAACATCCAGACCCGGAACCGGAACTTGTTCCGTGCGGGATTCGAACCCGCTTCCCTCAGTGCTGCTGCTCATTGGTAAATCACTGCGCCACGGAGCCGTCAAAATTGAGCAACAGTAGAATCTCACAATCTGATGGCAAAGATTGAGCTAACGATATTATCCAGCGGATCAGCGAAGAGGTTTTAATACTTGGTACATGATTTATGTTATCAAATTCATCGCTTGTTTGTAGTCCTGAAACTGAATTTGACTCTGACCCCTCATCATCAATAATTGGTTCATTCTCGTTCATCTCCAAATGTGGACTTCGCTTTATACGCGCTCCAGAGACCGTAAAAATAGAATTTGTTCTTTATTCGCAGCTTGCTCCAATTCCGGTAAGCGATACCGAACGGTTTTTACGATTTTTTTACATTTTTATTAGGTTTTCTAATTCAGGAACACTGCCAATACCATTAACAGTCACCAGGTTGTGCAGTCCATGCCCTAAGCACAAGTGGCTGTCCAGAGCGGCAAGCGAAATGGCGCGTTTAACATTTGACCCGGCATCCGTCACAGAGTGAAGTACTTTTTCTTTTAGATCAAAGCATTCTTTTGTGTCATTTAATATTCTATATCTTTCTAGTCTTACTTGTTTACCACCTAGGACCCTCTAACCATTAATTATCAAGTGGTAACTTGGACAAACTTTGCCCTATTGACGATTAAAAAAAATTAACACCTCAACTGCCAGTCAGCAAAGTGCAAGCGAATTGTAGAAAGGGGGACTAGATGGAGTGACGAGCTGGTAAGATATGCAGGTAGTTCATGGATGCAGGTGGCTAGGACCGTGCTTTGTGATATTGCTTGGAGGTATGTTCAGAAGTCGACTTGAGAAAGGATGCAATGATGATGAACTACCTGTCTAAGACATTGACAAGAAAAGTATATTTGTATAACAATGTTTGAACTTTTTTTGTGTGTATCACTACTAACATAACATGTATCCTTCGATAAAGATTTTAACGTGTTATACAGCTTTAATCAGAATTATAATAAACCTACGCATTTTACACGGTTCGGACGACGCATTGGTGGCAATTGGTTATGATTACAACTTACTCAAATTATTTTTAAAACAAAGAAGGAATATTACTTATTATGTTATCGCTCTTTATGATTCAACCAGATTGTGATACCCGTATCATTTTAAAAACATTTCTCAACTGCCTTTTTATCAGATTACCCTAAAAAACTTTTACTTATTAATTCCGGAACAATCTATCAATGTTTTTTCTGCAACCAACGAACTTTTAACTTTTGCTGGTAATCAAAAGTATTCTATATCAAAAGTTCGTTATCACCACAGAAATGCCTTATTATTACGATTTCTGTGGTTATCACGTACAGGTAGGGTTGCCACCTTTTTTTTAACGAATAAAGTGTTTCCCAAAAAAGATCCAAACATATTGTACTTTTGAGAAATTCAGGAGAAAAAAGTACATATGTATTTTTAATCTTTATATATTTTTCCATACACCTATATTTATTATTGCTGTTTGCTTTTGTACCTTATACATTTATATTATTGCCTTTATCTTATACCTTTAATATAATTAAAGGATTCTGAGCAATTTAGATTCATATTAAATTTATTATTAATTTTTATTATATTATTTTTATATATTAATTAATTTTTAATTAAATTTCATAATACATGCTCTTATTTTTTCTTCTTTCAATTTTACATTCATGACGGAATTATTTTTTTCCGTAAAACTTGTACCAGACTTCTAACCACAGTTAATATAAACAAGTGCGACAGTTGAATTACGGATAAAATATTACATAGTACAATTGACTGATATATAGTACGATATTATATATCATAGTACGGGTTACAACTCTACGCAGGCATATTTTTTTATAGGACACGGTGACAAACGAGTACACAGTCCATCCACCTGATGGTAAGTGGTTGCTGTGGCCCATAGACATCTATCCTCGATTACGAATCAAAATGTAGATGCGTTGTCACCCGTGAGGACTACGATTGAGTGCGTCTTTTCCAGTAAAAAGGGTCTCCGGTTCTCTAAACTCACCATACGAAACACAGCAGTATTACGGTACTATTTTACGCTGGTCCTCTGTGAGAGCGTGGTCTTTCCCTGGTCGAGCCGACCCATTCGAGCTACAACTATACTACAACTGCAGCATGGCTCTACCACGTATAATTGTGTTGTTGTTAAATTTCCTTACGGTGGAAGTTTCAGTTATGTATATAGCGATTCCATACATTCTATTAGTCTATAAAAATCCACTGCCTCCACTAAAAAAAGGCCTCCCCGATATATCGACTCATAGGAATTTTGCGATAGTTACAGACGACAGGCGGGTTGGCTACCGGCAACCGCAGTTTTTTATAATTTTGAGTTGTCGCGAAGATGCTGCTTCACATCTCCTGTTTTAGTTTCCCACTGTCGCCTCTTAAGACACCCATGGGACATGCATGGGATCCAGTATTGTGTAATGGATAATTCTTAAACAGCTACTACATGATTATTATATCACTATTAGTTCGATGAAATATATGAAGTTTTCACCGACAATGGCACATTGAATACACAATGGCACATAATGGATGTCCTTATAACTTGCGCATTGATTGTTCTTGACTTCAATCGAACAAAGCACGTCCGACGTCCGTCAGAGTTCTGATGCCAGATACGTAAGATCAGTGCAGTGAGCTAGATAAAATAGCTAGAGTATCCTCTATATATATTTAAAACATGCACAGAAGAATGTATTATGCTTTTGGCTTAAAAGGCTACACTCATTGAAATCGTACCTTACTCTGTGTTACCGCTTACGACTGCAATTTATTATTTTGAACTTTTGCTGTATAAACGTACTGGCCAATAAGAAACTGCACGTTGAAGGAAAAAGAGGAAAAACAAAAAGCCGTTGCTGTTTTGTTTTTACCGACGCTATCGGATACACACTCATAATATTTAATATCGTTTTTAAATAAAACAAATTCAATACCAAAACATATAATTTTGTAAAACAACGCTGTATTATGTTATAACATCATCACATCGAGTTTTATTAATGTCCTAACACTCTGTTTATACTGAACATGTGTATATTACATTAACAAAGATTTAGTCTTCTCAATAATAATGGGCAGGTAGGTAGGTGTTTTTTCTGCGTGATAAACTTAGAAAGGAGGATATCCGCAGTAGAACCAGAATGACCGACATAGCCCAACGGATTAGTAAGCTGAAGTGGAAATGGACCGGCAATATAGCTCGAAGAACCGACAGCCGATGGGGAAAAAAGGTTCTCGAGTGGCATCCTCGTACTGGTAGGCGAAGTGTAGGGTGACATCCCACTAGATGGAGTGACGACCTGGTAAAACATGCAGGAAGTCGATGAATTCAAGTGCCTCAGGACCATGCTTTGTGGCGTTTCTTGGGGGAGGCCTATGTTCAGCAGTGTACTTGTGAAGGGTTGTAATGATGATGATAATGATGACTTATAATTTAAGTTTTTAAATAAATAAATGAATTCTCTAAGATTCACAAGTAATAATAAAACAGTGTGTTACCTATTGTTCAAAATTCAAACAAACACGTACGTGCACATTAAAATGCGTGTATAATTTATGAATTAGCCGAACGCAGTACCAGACGTGCAACACCTTTGATCCTACTCCCCGTAATCGTCGGTCTGGGTCTGGGTTTCTACGACTGGCGTGGACGCGACGGATATATTGCCATCTAGTGGAAGTCATACCATCAATGTGTTTCATCTCTTACGACGCCCACAGACCGAAGGAGGAAGGGGGTAATTTACGCCACCAACCCCACTATTTTCAGTACGTTACCGTGTTCGTTAATTTAACAAAAGTAAGTAACATATATTAAATATGTTTAGCCTATGCTATCAAAAAATTCATTACACTGTATTAAGAGCATGCTTTGTATGCCAATGTGAAGATTCTAATTAACAACAATCAACTAATTAGTTCATACCTTCGGACTTCGACAAGCAAATATAGTGGCTGGGTTTCTTCCCAAAGAGTCCATTTTGGCGTAGCAGGCCAGCGTCGGCGTCTTCATCGTAGGTCCTACTAACGGGCCAGTACCCAGCCGGACATTTGGCCACACTTTCGACTATCTGCAAGGACAGCACCGGCCTGTCGTCTGGTAACGCGCCACCGAGCGCGGACAGCACCTTCGACATCGTAGCTCACGGCATTATTCTTCTAACATAGCACTTGGTATAATCTCCTGTCAGTCTTTTAAATAGCACCTGCAAAGAAAAAGGAATTGAACATTTCTCAACTGGTATTGGATATGGATATTCAGTACACACGCCCACGCACGCATACGTACGCACCACACACGCACACGTAAATATTGCTTGGGATATACACACACAGTAGTAGTAGCACACAGTCTACCTGACGGTGAGTGGATACATCTTTTTTTTTTATAGAATAGGGTGACAAACGAGCACACAGTCCACCTGATGGTAAGTGGTTGCTGCGGCCCATAGACATCTACATCTATCCTCCATTAATAATCAAAATGCAGATGCGTTGTCACCCGTGAGGACTGAGATGGAATGCCTCGTTTCCAGTAAAAAGGGTCTCCGGTTCTCTACACTCACCATACGAAATACAGCAGCATTAAGCTACTATTTCACGCTGGTATTCTGTGAGAGCGTGGTCCTTCCCCGGTCGAGCCGATCCATTCGTGCTACAACTATACTACTAATATAACTGCAGCATGGCTCTACTATCTAAATCTGTTTTCGTAATATTTATTGGTTCTTTGTAACCTCCAGGCATTAATGGATTTTGAAGTGTAAGGTATTATTGCGTCTCTGTCTTCGAAGTGCCATAGGCTATATGTATGGTAACAATATCAATGTGTTATACTCGTTATACAATACAATTTATTTAATAATAATTAACCACATGGGGGAGGCCTATGTTTAACATTGAACTTATCAAGGACTATCATGATGATGATGATCACAGCAGTTGTTGCTTTTTTTTACTGAATTTTTTTAAGATAAATTGTTATTCTGGGTAGCCCTTATACTGACATGTTCTAAACTAGACGAAAGGATAACGAATTACATAGGGAGGATTACAAAACAAAAGGCTAAGTGCAATAGCTTGCTGGGGTTGCTCCCCAAGGTTTTCGATAACATTCTGACTTATATGGCTTCCTTGTGAAGCCTATTGGCAAAATAAATAGAATTTTAAGTGTACTCTAGGATTAATACATTCACATATTTAATATAAATAAAGATATAGTTTTGTAATAAGTAGTTTGGGTGTAGAATGTCATCACATTGAGAGTCAGTGTAAGGGAACCCATCACACCATTTCATCCTGTAGAAATCATAAGAGGCAAAAAAATGATGTAAAAGGCCATAAAGATCTAATGGTCTCCGATGGCTGATGGTACACTATCTCGTAAACGCCTGATAAATACTCAGACCGGGAACGGCAAGCAGCGGCAAAAGAGCGTGAATTCTGGCATGGTGATCAATACTCCGTCTGCTAAGCGGGACGAATATAGCAAATCGCACAACGCGAGAAAACTCGTGACACCATCCATACCATCTGGATAATTGGCGGCCCACCATTGTTATTTACAAGAAGTTTTGTTTCTTGCACAACTTCCCTGTTGAATCGACTACCAACAGCGACTACAAACATTTTTTCGGACCAATGTGGTATTAGAATTGGAAAAAATTATTAGAAACCTTCAAGAAAAAAACCTACTCTTTTTCTGAAAAGATAGCAACAATCTGGGATTCAGGTAGTGTTGCATTTGTTCATGGGCAGTGGTAATCACCGTCAAGTAAGCCGCACGATCGTTTGCCAAAAAAAATCCAGCCATTTCATCATGGAGAGACTTCGATCAATAATAATCATTGATCGAAGTGGAGAGACAAAAATATAGGGATAGTGATTTGTCGATAAAATTTACCGTATTTCAACCCCCTAAAGTGTCCGACACCGATGAATGGACACATTGTATATATAAAAAACAAGTGGTAAAATGAAACATTTTGTACAACCGACTTTTAAGCTTATTATATTATTATTACTGTATGCTTAAGCAATAAAGAATATCGTATTTTATTAAGCCCACAAAGTCAATTGACGAAAATTGTTTAATATGAAGAATTAATAGTTTAAAAAAGTAATAAATGTATACTCCCCTGGCGTCCCCAATCACCAGATCGTGTAATTTTATGGCCATATGCTTTAAATACTTATACCATTATGTTTTCTTTTAAAATGATCATATGCCCAAATAAACATCGAAACCTATTTTATCAAAATACATTGTAATTTTTTTTATAAATATAAAAACTATATCTTATTATCATGTCATGTTACAATTCTGTCACCTCACCTGGCGTAACTGAAAGACTAATAATTTAACATAAAACCGCTAAAACTACGCGTGTAGTTATAGTGTGAAGTTAGCTAGCTGCTAACTCCGTTAAGAAAAACTCAAATCATTTTGGGTCAGTTTTCGATTCATTGTAGGAGTACGTACCTATATGTTTTTGTATTTTGTAGTTACGAAGTTGAAAATTTGCACACTGCGATGCTTGTGTGTTGATGCCATGTATTACGTTAAACTGTGGTCAGAAAGACAATTAACGATGTTTTTGTAGGTTATGTGCGATTTTGTCACTTCCCTGGCGTCATTTCTCTGGCATATTTTATATCAGGGGAGAAACAAACGTACTAGGGAAGTGACATAATTTTGTTTAGTTAATATTTAATGTTATAATGCTTCATTTCATTAGTTCTACATTTATCCTCAATTAAGAATCAAAATGCATATGCGGTGTAACCCTGAGTACTGAGAGGGAATTCCTCGTTTCCAGTGAAAATGGTCTTCAGTTCTCTACACACACCATGCGAAACACGGCAACATTTAAGCTCCTATTTTATGCTGGTATTACCCGGGTAAGAAAGTAACGTTTAGTTTATTATTAAAGCTTAACTTATAAGCATTATTATAATTATTAAATATTATTGATAGTTCATTTTTATATTCTTAAACATTAATAAGCTACGTAGTTATATGTTACAGCAATAAACACTTAAGTTGCGATTTCTTTGCGCTCATAAAAACTTAAGTCAGATATTTCAGATAATAATAAATAATTTCGAAATATACAAAATTTAAGGTGTAACCAAAAATGTGTGTGGTCTGGCGTTATCATGATGAAGGACCACTCCTTTTCTGTTAATCAATTCCGGCCGTTTCTTCTCAATTTCGTCAGCATATGTGAGTACTGGCAGTACGCTAAGGTCGAAGACTTTCGTCTACAAGCTTTGCGGTATGGGCGACGAGAAGACCTGACGAAGCTTCCCGAATGCTGCCCAGCCGAACTGATTCCGCCTATCGGCTTCTTTTTCGAAGTTGTTTTTAACTATCTGCATTATCTGGTCAAGGTAGATATACTCTTGAACAACTTCAAGAATTTCACCATCAACAATAATCGGATCTGGTATGATATGACTGTTAAACATGACTTTCGTCTTATTTAAATCCATACAACACGTTGGGAGGATTAATTTAGGCTGCTCAGCATGTCTATAGTTCCTGCATCGATTCTGCCATGACGACGATATCATCGGTAAAGCGTAAGTGTGAGATGTGTTTACAGTTTATATTGATGCCGCGTCCATTCCAGTTTAGCGTAATATCTTCAAATGCATTTGTGAACATTTTCGGGGTTATTGTGTTCCCCTATACGATGCAACTGGATAGGTTTTGTAAGGCTACGGACGGACATCGAGCTTGTTGTTTTAATGTCTTAAGACATCTATATATCGCCAGTCAACGCTGCACGGAATTTATAACAGCCGAAGTTTCGATGGAGTCGAGGGTTTTCTCATAGTCCACAAAGGCCAGACACAGAGGATAATTATACTCATTCGTCTTCTGTATAATTTGCCTTACTGTGTGAAAGTGGTCGATGTTACCATAGCTTCCTCGAAACAATGCCTACCCGGGTGTTTGAAATTCGTCAAGTCTCCGCGTGATGACCCTCGAAAACAACTTATAGACTTGGCTCAGAAGCGAGATGGGCCGATAATTCTTTAACATTGTCTTGTCAGCTATCTTGTAAGACAAGACTATGATGCTTCTGCTTCACGCCATTGGGGTTCTCCCATCTGGTAAAACGCAGCCAAAAATTCGACAGTGCTCTTTTAGCAATGGTTGTCCCCCCCTCCCCTTTTAAGAGCTATGTTGTGACTCCGTCCTCTCCGGGGGCTTTTCCTTTTTTAAGTTGCCCGGGGGCCAATTCAATTTCCTGCTCGCAGCTCGTCGATATAGTGACGGGTTAGTGTGGCTCTGGGATCGTCGTATTTGGGGTCAGGTCAGGTCATGCCTGAGGAGGCATATATTGTACCATAGTAGCCTTCGAGCTCAGTGAGAATCTCAGGCTTCAACGTGAGGGTTTTGCCATAACATGTCTTCAGTTTTGTAAATTAGCTCCTCCTAAGCTTCCGACCATCTTCTCTATTGCTTCTTGAATAAGGGTTGCATTAGAGCGCCGCAGCCACAGGTCTCGCCGTACAGCTTTACTAACGAGTCTGGTGAGTGTCAGCTGTTCTGATTAAGCGGCTGTTGTTGCCTCACGTCGCTTTTACTTAAGCTGAAGTATCTCATCGGAGAGCTTACACTTCTGGCTTATATGTTGCCTACTGACAACCTAACCTTATCCCTTAAGGTCTTAATCACACAAGTGAGATCTTCGTCAATATATAATGTGGGTTTTAGGGCATCGAATCGATTCCGTAGTTCCAACTGAAGACATTTGGTCGGAGCGTAGACTTCATCAGACGGGCTCTTTCAATCTTGAAATAGATATTCAGTGTCTCGAACAAGTCGGTGATCATTTGCGGTATTAAACATATTGATCACAGAGACACCTCTGAATATGACTTTTTGTCTGTCATGATGAAGTAGATCTCATTTTTCGTCAAGTTGCGCCAGGTCTACTTCCTTCGGGGCTTTTTTTGAAAATAGGAATTCATTAGATGAAGCCCCTCCTTTTCGAGGAAGTTATTCAGCATTTGCTCTCTGTGATTCCTTCCAAATCCGTGCGGTCCCATAATCGATTCACATCGAACACCTGTATGTTTTTCAACTTTGGCGTTAAGGTCTCCCGTGACGACATTAAAAAAT